ACCCGCACTCATGACGCCCTGTCAATAAGCCCACTGACAGGACGTGATAGCTTACCTCCAGTGGATGGTAAGCACACCAACAGGGTCTGAATTTCTGCAGAATGATCCTGCAGCAATGGCTGCGGCAATCACGAAACCGACTGCTAACCATCGAGTGGGGAGCACTTTGACACGTGTACTTCGATAAGCACACGTGCCGAAGTTGTTATCGAAGCTACCCAGCGCACGTCGCAGCCTGGGCAGACACACCACGCCATCTCCATCCGCTTGCACAGACGAGGAGGGAAACAGAGACGTTACCTAGCGGAAATCTTGTTGAAGACGGCATTGAAGTTGTTGAGACTGAGCGCGAACAGCACCTTGGAGGCGAGCGCGCGCAGCTGGGCCACCATCGGGTTATCGCCGGTGGGCATGTCTGCCGGCACATGACGCGGCATCATCAGACGGAGTTGGCGTGGTCGGGACCGGACTTTATCGGCGGAAGTAAGGTGGTCTGGATCGGACCTGATGAGCGGAGGCGAGGTGGACGGCATCGGACCTCATCGGTGGAGGTGGGGTGGTCGGGATCGGACCTCATGAGCGGAGGTGGGGTGGTTCGGATCGGACCTGATGGGCGGAGGTGGGGTGGTCGGGATGGGACCTGATGAGCGGAGGCGGGGTGGTCCGGATCGGACCTGATGGGCGGCTACGTCAACAGCTGGTGGACAGACGTTAATGACTGACTGGATGTTTGCGCACAGAGCAAGGCTATTGCCCATCACTCTTTGTTGAAACTCGTGCATTGATGATCTCCCTCGCGTTTCGTATTGTCCTTCCCAAACCTAATTTTGATCGTGTCTTAAGCCCGTGATCATTACCACAGACAACTGGTCGTGAGCCCAGCAAGAGTACATCTCGAACTGTGGAACATAAAGCAGCACAGGCCCCCAGGAAATACAAAAGCAGATCGACAATAGCTGGCCAACCACTGCACACCGCAGCCTTCTGGCACGCACGCCGCCGAGTCCCGCAGCGGCTGGTCACACTCACAGACAAACTGGCAGATCTCCCTGAGCAGCAGCTTGACGTTGAGGGCCTCGTCGAAGCGGGTCGTGTCCTTGGCCGGCCCGCTGAGACACTTCTCCAGCGTGTCCAGCACGATCAGCAGCGACTCGTAGTAGCTCTTCTCCATGTCCGGGTTGTGCGACTGCAGGGCCAGGAACTGGCGGCACACGACACAGGCGGGTCCGTCAGCGGCGGCCGGCGGCGGTGGGCGACAGCCGCCGGCGACGGCGCGGCAGACAGCGCCCGGGACTGGCAGTTCAGGGGCGAACACAGGTCGGGTGCCTCAGCGGGTCAGGATGAGAACGCAGCAGGAAAGGAGCACAATCCCGGTGCCAATACGCGTGGAGGTGGAGGTGCGACTGAAGACCCAACGGTCAGTCGACGTCCGGAACGTCCGCGGAAGCACCTCCTGTACCAACACAACAAGATGTTATCCTCCCCATGTAGGTAACAAAGGAAGAATGAGAAGACAGCCCGTCTCGGTCCTGAGCGAGGCGAGGCGAGGGTATGGTGTGGGCATGGTCGCAGAAGGGTGGAGGCTCACTAGCTAGCCTGTGGGGAGTTTTCGTCAGGATATTGGCGACTAACTGGACGATGGGATGAGCTGGAGGGACTTGGATTATGCGTTTTGCCTCTGATTTGTTGAAAAGCTGCTGCTAAGGCCTTGGGCATGGTACCGAAGAGGACCGCAGTCAGTCGGTGGGATAATTTCCGACCTCAGATGGTTGAGGACACCAAACAGCACAATTACGAACACGCGCCACGACTGATGAGCACGGGCACTGCATTCACCTCGCTGATCTTCTGCAGCCGCTTGGTGAGCCCAGAGATCACCAGCGAGAAGCGGTAGTGTGATATCTGGATGAGACTCTGCTTGTTCTGCTCAATGTTGAGCCGTGTGTGAGTGGTCTGAGGCCCGGTACGATATGGCAGCTGAAAAACCAGATCAAACGTATGTCACTACGTCACTGTATGTCAATGGGCCGCACTCACTCATAACCTAACATAGTATCTTCCATTTGATGTCTGATGAACTGCAATGAACTTTGATGAACTGCAATGCTCCAAGCAATGAGACCAGCAAAAGGTCTCATGTTACCAGCTGCAAGCATGGCAGGCCATGGACTTTGCTATGCTCACCAGTGGTGTCTGTCATCATAGCAGATGCACCACTTTATGCTGACACATATGCCAAAAATATATGAGCAGCTTCAAAAAATGTTGGCTGGAATCATGCACTACAGCACAGAAAACTGTTGCAAGGCTGTCTTACTAATACCAGGCCTTGCCTTAATGATCAGCTACAAGACATCCAAGAAGACTGCAAGCTGCTGAAGGCATATTGTTCTGTTGAAGTTTTATGCCATCAAACTTTTTTGTATTCTAGACATTCCCTCAAGCCCATGTAGCTAGATGTCAATGTTCTATAATTGGTCTCACAAGGTGTATCAAGAAACAGGTGCCAAACAGCCCCAAAGCTTATTATTGATTATGTGCGGCATTGAGACATGACAGGGGATCAGATCGGCCAAGGCAAGACAAGGCTGGGTACCCAATACTTCATCAATGGGCAGTCATCAATCAGATAACAATAAAAATTGCAAACTTTGGCCTGTGCTGGAGGACAACACACTTTTAAACCAATTAGCAACACAAAAATATTTGATTGAGAAGGAATGACAAACACATGGAACAGCTTTGCACACATGTGCTGTTCTTTGCAGTAAATACAGTCCTGGGAAGACCAAAGAGGCAATGATGTGCTGTCACATCTCAGTACTGTCATTATTTGTTAAAACTCTTGGGCATTGAAGCTGTGCTGAGTGCACTTCCTAACTTGTTTTCTTTTACCAATGTAAATGTTATATAACATAAAGTGTGCCTTCATGTCAATGATACAGATCAGGTGCATACTCATCTCCTCTTGAGCACAATAGCAGGAGGGGGTGCCTCTATTGAGATCTGAACATGATCAGAGCATTGCTTGGTATCTAAAGCAAGCAGAGAACATGGAAAAAGACAGTCACATGAAGGGGCAGCAGATAACCTCCCAGGTGCGGTTAATCATCTTAAATAATAACTTGCTGATAAACCTATAATTTACCAAGAGGTATTGTGGTGCCCATACATATTAGTATCTCTTGGCATTTTACACACTGCTGTGAGTTCCCATCCAACCACATTGCATATACATATTGGTGATTTCAGAATACAAAACAAATGTATTCTTTTTTAATTTTCAATTGCACTTCATACACAAATATTGCAACAGCATCTATCATACCACAGAGACAGAAATATCTCACCTGGCTGTCAAACCTAGTGATTAGGGCATTAACCCATTCCACTGGTTTCTGTGTAGACATCCTTCACACCAGATGTCCCAGTCTTGACTCAGCTATGACCCTCTATTCACCCTTAGATTAGGCACCTCAGTCTGGCCTGACATGGAAAGTGCTTCCATGCACTGCTTCTCAGGGTGTCCATCTGCAAGAATGCCCTAACAAGGTTCTTGATGCAGGAATGTATGACTATGTCCCAATCTGAAAAGCAGGGCATTTCTCAGTGAAATTGCATTGGGCCACTTAGGAATTGAAGTGTGTTTTGGGATATATGGTGCACAACCATGACTTTAGAGGCATGACAGTGACCCACACAATGGTTAAGCATAAGCCATGACCTAAAATGTGTAGGAACTAAATATAGCCCAACTTATATTGGTACTGATGCAAAATTACTAGATTGGATTAGCATATTATGTCCCTCAGTGGCAAAAGATCATTGTTCATTAGCATGTTCAGTGTGTTGGGCAATACATACATAACCAAGAGCATTCACAGCAGCCTGCCCTGAAAAATATGCCTTGGTTAAAAGAAACTAACCATTTTGGAACACATTCTATGATATATGTGAGAAGCATTTGGATGCTGATAGCCTCTCTAATGGCCATGTGATGAAACAAAAGTGATTTGTCCTTAAGTTTGGAAAGTTTTCTCTGACAACACCATCTGCTCAGCATATTGGCACATCTCTCCTTCCAACTGCTGTCACCAAAATGGACCCAAGTGACAACTAAACTTTGAGCTGTATGATCAAATACTGACACTTTCTTAGACAATCAAATGACCACCCAATTGCATACATTCATGTATGCTTCCATAGCCAGTGTATGGGTTATAGTCCTCTTGGAAATCCCCACTCTCCTGCATGTAGTTAACTTCTCCTATGACCTTAAGTTAATGACAACTGAGAAAGCATGACGGCATTAGTTGAGAACTGATGATGAATTAGGTTCAATTCTTTGCTTTCGTACAGCGTCGAATCACTAGTTTTTTGGCACTTCTTAATCACAAACCGAACAGAAGTTCTCACAAATGCTGGAAACTCACCCAACTGGGTAACAAGGTTACGAGGGATGACAAACCCACATCCAAAATGAATATAATTAGTACTCTAACTCAGAGCCTCATATCAGAGGCGTTCTCCGCGCGCGCAACCATTGTCAACCATACACAGCCTACCACTGCCTACTTTAGCCTTTTGTGCTCCCTAAATAACGCAATACCTGCAAAGGTAAACACTTGTTCTTGAGCTGATTGGCTATTGGAATCTACCTGCACGTCGCGCCTGCCATATCAGTAGCAAAGCAGCTTGTAATAGACAATGTGCAAGGGGAAGGAGAACACACAGTACAAAGTACACTAAAGACTATTTAAGATACTGAAAACTACCAAGTGAGCACCACAGCATAAGTCAGAAAGGCAGTATAACTGCAGACAAAATTAAAATATGGTCTAGCATGCATCAGTATTGCTTGGCTCTCATCACTCCATGTACTTTGGTTTCAGATCAATCTTATGAAAACGCATTTGATCGCCGGTGTAAAAATATAAATTGACGCATATCAGACTTTTTTGGCGCCGATGGTGTGGTGTTGCACGCAGTTGCACGTACGCTTGAGCCCAGGCGGCTATGCGCCCTAATCCAAGGCGGGTGTCGCACGTTGCCTGTGCTGTGTTTGGGATCATTACGGCATTGATATAACTGCTATCGAGAATAACCGCAGAAGACCAGGTATCGGCTTTTTATTCCCGGTACGTTTCTTTCACTTTCGGACATATGAATACAGTTACTGGCAGGGTTGTGGCTGTGTATTCACTCGAACTTCACTCAATGCTGCCGTGGTCCCCTCCCCCCCCCCCCCCACCAGCTTCGTTTGGAAATTGGATACGGGAACGTTTGAGAGGTTATTGGGTTTTGCATGAATATGGGAATCGTTTTCAATGTGTGCCTTGCTTAGCCCCCAGCTTTGCAGTGCAGTTTTGATTCAAAGGATGCAGGGGACATGGCATGGAAAAGAAGATGAACCTTCTACCAAAATGTACCCAAAAATGGATTTCCAACCACATTTGGCCCAAGTTCTCTCTGTTTTAAGGTTGTCCCCCCCCCCCTCAACTGAGTTGTAAGTAACACCCCTTCTCCAGGTGATTTTAAAGAACTATGACACTTCAGAAGAAAAACATCATAAGATGCTCGCTCAGGTATTCTCTGGATTAGAAAAATAGATGCTGGAGGCCTTATTTCCTTGCTGTACTATATTCCTGTTACTGTTCCTGTTGCTTTATTTTTACTTGCTGTAGTGTGTGGGGGCTCCTTCCAGTCTGTGAAGTATGGGTATGTTTTGCTTTAAGTGCAGGGTGTCTTGTGTGACCACTGATGCTTGAAGTATTGTTTGGCTCTTGTGATGGCACATCCAATTCATTGGTTTCAATGCCTTGTTATGTAGATTATTGATTGTCCATTCCTTGAGCTGGCCAGCTTGGCCTCAGGCTTTAGTTCTGGTGATGCACTTGATATGTGGAGCATGTGTAAACATGACTGGGTCATTGGGTTCTTTTGTGTCTTTATGTATGCACATTTTATACCAATAGATAGAATAGATTATAGCATTAAGTTGAAAACATATGGTACATTTCCTCACTCTAAGATATGTTTGTGGTGTCATGCATTGATGATCACCTGTCACTTTGTTTTTTTGTTTTCAGATGATGGCAGGCAACTTGGGGCAAGTAACTGCTAGCTCAACAGTTTTTCTTCTCTGTGATGTGCAAGAAAAATTCAAGCCAGCCATTGCACACTTTAACTGTGTTGTGCAGTCATGTTCAAAACTTGTAAGTGCAATGCATGCTCCCATTTTTGATGTTCATTCTTCTCCTTTTTCATCAGCCAACCTTCTTTAATTAATTTAAGCCCACTTAAAACACATGATTCTGTGAAAAGAATGTGCTATCAACTAATGAAGCCTACTTTAAACACACTGATTTTTGCAAAAGGGACACTGCATACTTTTTTTGAGGGCATATCTGACTGTACCATTCACCTTAAAACTGATAAGGTTGCAGAAAAGCTAGTGGTGATGACAGTCTCAGCACAGACCTCACTGCTCGCCCCATTTTCAGATAACAGCTGGTCGCATTCTGGGAGTTCCTCTGCTAGTCACTGAACAATACCCAAAGGGTCTGGGCAAGACTGTTCCCGAGCTGGATGTGCAACATGCAGCTGTCGTGGCTGAAAAGACCAAGTTCAGCATGGTCGTGCCTGAGGTGGACGCCGTACTGGAGCAGCTGAAGCCCCGTGTGGCTGTCATCATGGGACTTGAGGTACCTGATGTGAGATGCATGGGACACGCCGGAGCGTGGTGGATGCGGTGACGAAGCGCAGTCAGGGTGTGGTGACCGAGCGCGGGTAGGATGTACGAGCGACCGGGCAGGGGTGTGGTGACGAGCGCGGCAGGGTGTGGTGACGACGCGGGCAGGGTGTGGTGACGAGCGCGGGTAGATGTGGTGACGAGCGCGGGCAGGTGTGGTGACGAGCGCGGGCAGGGTGGGATGACGAGCGCACGCAGGGGTGTGGTGACGGGCGCGGGCAGGGGGGATGACGAGCGCGGGTAGATGTGGTGACGAGCGCGCGGTGTGGTGACGAGCGCGGGCAGGGGGGATGACGAAGGCGCACGCAGGGTGTGGTGACGGGCGCGGGCAGGTGTGGTGTGGTGGACGAGGCGCGGGTTAGATGTGGTGACGAGCGCGGGTGTGGTGACGAGCGCGGGCAGGGTGGGATGACGAGCGCACGCAGGGTGTGGTGACGAGCGCGGCAGGGGGGGATGACGAGCGCGGGTAGATGTGGTGACGAGCGCGCGGTGTGGTGACGAGCGCGGGCAGGGTGTGGATGACGAGCGCACGCAGGGTGTGGTGACGGGCGCGGGCAGGGTGTGGTGACGAGCACGGGTAGATGTGGTGACGAGCGCGCGGTGTGGTGACGAGAGCGGGCAGGGTGGGATGACGAGCGCACGCAGGGTGTGGTGACGAGCGCGGGCAGGGTGTGGGGACGAGCGCGGTAGATGTGACGAGCGGGCAGGGTGTGGTGACGAGCGCGGGCAGGGTGTGGTGACGAGCGCGGGTAGATGTGACGAGCGCGGGCAGGTGTGCTGACGAGCGCGGGTAGATGTGGCGAGGCGGGCAGGGTGTGTGACGAGCGCGGGCAGGGTGTGGTGACGAGCGCAGGGTGTGGTGACGAGCGCGGGCAGGGTGTGGTGACGAGCGCGGGCAGGGTGTGGTGACGAGCGCGGGTAGATGTGACGAGCGCGGGCAGGGTGTGCTGACGAGCGCGGGTAGATGTGGCGAGCGCGGGCAGGGTGTGCTGACGAGCGCGGGTAGATGTGACGAGCGCGGGCAGGGTGTGGTGACGAGCGGGGGCAGGGTGTGGTGACGAGCGCACGTAGGGTGTGGTGACGAGCGCGGGCAGGGTGTGGTGACGAGCGCGGGCAGGGTGTGCTGACGAGCCCGCGCAGTGTGTGCTGACGAGCGCGCACAGGGTGTGGTGACGTGACGAGCCCGCGCAGGGTGTGGTGACGAGCGCGCTGCGGGTTTGGTGACGAGCGCAGACGGGGTGTGACGAACAAACGGCCGCGGCAAACTATGTGCTGGTGCCTCCTCTGATTGGCCCTGACAGCGTTGTGTTGTGGACAGGCGCACGTGTGCGTGGAGCAGACGGCAGCCGACCTGCTGGCGCGCGGCCACGTGGTGCACGTGGTGGCTGACGCCGTCAGCTCACGCTCACAGGAGGACCGGCTGCTAGCGTTTGACGTGAGTGAGATTCCCTGGTGATATCGGACACTGCAAATGGTGCGAACAAGTCGCGTTACTCACTGGGATAGAGGACTGAAATACTTTCTCTTAGCACGGCGTGATCAAAGTATGCAGTATCAAATGGTGAACGGCGGGGTCGAAATCAGCCTGCCTTTCGTATCTGGCAGCGGTTTACTGCAACAAGCATTCATTGCAGGGGATGACTGACACTGGCTGGTGGAAATGGCGTCATAAATACGTTACTCAATTTTGTGGATAGAGAAGCACGAGGTCGACAGCTAATTTTCCTTCAGCTTTATGAGAAGATAAAATGAAAAAGCATCCGGCGGTGGCGTGACATTCGTTTGTTTTTGGTTTTTGAATTTTGCCCAGCGTGGTATGTAGTATAACTGATGTGTGGTTCTCTATTGAGCATGCGCTATGAATTGGATTACATCGTATTGAATGACGTTGCACATTGACAAGAGTTTTTGTTGAAAGCTGACATCCTCAGTATCACACAATTTTGTGCTTTGAGACTGGAGGCAATGTATTCAGAGACTCGGAGGAGAGATCCATTTCCCATCTAACGGGCATTTGTAATTAAATTTCTTTGAGCACCGAAGCCTCCCAGAAAATTGTGTTCGATGTATCTGAATGAGGGTACATGGTTTTACGCTGTGGGAGACGACTGGGAACGTTCCATTGACAACTTCCTGGAATATCACATAAATGTTCGATCGAGTCAGAATGAATGTGTGGACACGCTCAAGTCTGCTGAATTATGCCCTGAACGTTGCGCTGTTAGGGTGAGCTAACTGCCAGTGGTATTTTCAGAGAATGCGACAGATGGGCTGCTTCATCTCCACCAGTGAGTCGATCATCTTCAAGCTGCTCGGCGATAAGAACCATGAGAAGTTTGGTGAGGTCAGGGGCCTGGTGAAGGAGCCCTCGCTGTCGACGGGGCTGGCCAAGATGTAGATTCAGATAACACGGCGCGACGCATCATGTTTCGGGAGCACGAGGTCTGTCGGGCTGTATGTACACTCCTTTGGTGGTGTCAAAGGAATCAAGCGACCGAAGAGAGAGGCGCGATGCGAACGCCATCTATCAGGTACATTTGTTGGGTGTGGAGACAAGTTGTAGGGCTCGCAATCACGTGAGGGTTGATTGAATTTGTATACTTAGATAAGGGATTTTCATGTTCTGTAAATGTCGTCATGCAGCGAGTGTTCGACATGTCAGCCGCCGTGAGATTTCCGGCTGTGGTTGTGCGTGTTTGTGACACCAGCGGCACCAGTTGCAGTTCGGCAGCGTCAGCTGTTTATCACTGGTGATGTGAAGTCTGTTGCGTGACGGCCCTTCGTGTTGGGCCTGGCGGAAACCAGTCATTCGCATTGATTTTCAGTAAGATTTGAATAAGACCACGCTGTGCCGCGAAAATGCGTCGGTTTAAGTGGCGTGTATGGCTTGAAGATATCCTGCGATAGCGAAACGTCTCCCTGCCGTTGAGTAATGCATTTGATATAAAATACGTCATGAACGCTCCGCTGTGAAAATTAGCTGGTTTGAGAACGTCCGCTACATACAGTCACTACGCAAGACAGGGAGCATGTTTCTCACTTTTGTGCAATTCGTGGGACGGCATTGATTACCGGCTGGCTTTCGCGTCTCAGCCGTAGCATGCAAGCAAACAGCAGGCTTCTCTCGATTTCTGTGGATTGGTGAACAGGAAACAGGGTACTACACCTGTGGTCCAGGGCGAGGCCATGACCTCGCAGCGTGTTAATGAGCGACAGTATATGGCTATGGCAGAGTATGACCCCGAACGTAATGCCGCGCGCGCTGGTCGGCACAGCCTTAACGTCACGGCAGGGTTATCGTTCCGCGGGTGCTGCCATCTTCTCGGCTGGAGGCTGTCCAGCAAACTCATTGGAGTCAGTCTTGGACCGGTGTCGTCCACCTGCTCGGCGTGCGCAGCAGCCGACTGTGTCACTGAACTGGTCACGTTTGTTTCCGCGATCCAGTGTTTTCTGACGTGTTCGGCGGTGGACGAGCGTGGGTGACGCCACATTGGGGGATGCGTAGGCGTCACTTCCGTCGAACCGGGGATTAGAAATTAATGTTAAGAAATGACGCGTCGAGGATCACAAAAAGGCGCTCGCACACAGAAAGGTCACGACCTCGATGATTAGCGTGCGTGAGCGCCTCGGCAACAGTTGAACAGTCGAAGGCTGCACCTAGTCGGCAAACCCCGTGTTGAGTCGGTCTGAGCCGGGCCAGCTAAGTGTCCCCCGAAGGTCGGCCACGTGACGCTCGATCACAGGTCGTCACGTAACTAACGCACGGCGTGCTTGTTTTTGTACGGATTATGACGGACGGTGATGCGGTTTGACCCCGCATCTGTGTCATTACTTTCAATATACTACACCCGCGTCATTACAATAATACCACATCTGCGCCATTACTTTCAATATGAATATCTTAGCCGTCTGGCCGGGTGGGCAGGATTTGAGGTAGGCCTGTTGCCAACAGGACAACTGTTGAGGTTCCGGCTGCGAGTGCTCACGAGATCGAGTCTCGGGGATACGCTGGTCCGAACTCGCCACTCCAACTCGCCACCTGCACCAGGGCAGGACAGGGCAGGGGCAGGGTAGGACAGGGCAGGACAGGCGAGGGCACCGGCTGACCACGCTAGCCACGGCCGCGTGGCAGTGTGGATGTATGGTGGTTTTAATTGTCTAACTCTTCGGTGCATCTTGTCTGTTTTGTGAATAGCGGTGCCTGATAAGTGTACAGGCAAGGTGGCAACGCAAGATGCACAAGTGCCTATACAAAACGCGATCTTATTTCTGAGACGACTTATGTGGTGCGTGTTGGTTCCGACACAATTGAGAATAGTGGAGAGGGCATGGTTGTACTATTTAGACTTTTGAGAACGTTAACAGCACCAATGTAGACGGGTCTCACATGTGCAACGAATGCAAAGAAACGCGTTGCTTTTGATCCGTGGGATAGTCCCGCACATATGCCCAAAATAAGATGTTTTGAACACGCAGTGATATTAAGCCCGCAGTACGGTTAGTTGTTTAGGACGGATGAACTCTCGAAGTGTTCCCAAAGCTCTGGGTGCCCTCTCGATTTGCTGGGCGATATATTGTACCGATTCGTTGTGAAATTCGGCTTCGTGCGGTTCAGTGAAGTTGATAATGCCTTCCAAGATGTTGATGCTCAGGTCGGATAAGCTCGTTACTTGTACTGCCTTCGGTGCAGCCCCCCCCCCCCCTGCACAGTAAATGTAAAGTTTGCTCACAAAACTTGCGGTGTTGTCAAACGTTAACAACTGGAAAAGGCTTCAGCGGATTATTTCAGGCCCCATATGTATCAGGAACAGGAGTTTCGGTTTTGGTCCCGAGCAGAAGGCCGGTTGCGATGGAGAAAACACTATCGTTCGTCGTGCTCCTAATATAGTAATATACTAATAAATAAATAAATAATATAATGTGCTTCTGTGCCATGTGCTGGTCGGCCACGTTTACTTCCGCCGACAGTCTTGCGCAGCGCATCCCTACGAAGCACCATCGCAGCACTGGAGCATAAGCGTCCACCTGTGCGCACACATGCACGTGCCGCAACGGGAGCCCAAGCAGCGGGAAGTCCACGTGTTTCCCTGGGGTAACACGGCCACGTGCCTGGCGCCATCCCGCCTGCAGACGCTCCACGGCGCCGTGACTCGGGGCACTCGGTCGTGAGCGGGACGTTACCTGCTGATTGGTCAATTTGGGCTCGCCATAAATGACAGCGGTGATCGAACAGATACCGGACGGCCACCTCAATCATGCAATTACGCAGATGACCAAGCACGTAGACTCCCGAAATATCCACACTAATGGTCTGGAGCGGACGTCCAGCGCGCGGTACCGAAGCTGCCGTCACGGTCTCGGCGGACGCATACGTGATTCCCGTTAGCCGCCACGAGCTGGGGAGACGGAGGCCCTCCAAGCAGGTACGATATCATGTATTTCCGACAGCGCGGCTACTGTCACGGTTGGCGCGCACTTCCTGTGGATGGCGCGGCCGGCATCACCGCGCCTCCCACACTTCACGGCCCTGCGAAGCCGGCCGATGCCAGCGCCGCCGGCAGCGCCGCCGCAGTCGGACGCCAGCGCGCTGCGTCATCGTGGATGCCGCGTGAGCTTCCCGGCTGGCCGAACGCTGCTGGATGTGACGACGCTGACGAATATTTCCTCATGACGTCATCACCAGCATGTTTGAAGCCTCACCCCAGGTGACTCGATGTCCGGTGTCCTTTCCAGCTGGCCTTACCTCTCTCTTCGACTGACCCGATGCCCTTTCTGCCGAACTGACGTGGCGCTCCATCTCAGGTGGTGTGGGTTCCAGCTGAGGTGACCTGGAACCCACCTCAGGTGACCTGGCATCCCTCTCCAGCTAACCTGACGTTCTTCCCAGCTGACCTGGCGTTCAACCCCAGCTGACCTGACATCCGTCCCCAGCTGACCTGACGCTTCTCTCCAGACGACCTGACATCCCTCTTCGGCTGACCTGACATCCCTCTCAGCCGACCTGACGCGTCTCTCAGCTGACCTGACGTCCCTCTCAGCTGACCTGACGCCCCTCTCAGCTGACCTGACGCCTCTCTCAGCTGACCTGACGCCTCTCTCAGCTGACCTGACGGCTCTCTCAGCTGACATGACGTCCCTTTCTAACCGACTTGACACCAATCTTCTCAGCATTTCCCTGCCGAAGTATGCCCCCCGTCAGCTGGATAATACCCTCATGTCTGTCATATGCCAAGCAGAGCATTCCATAGAATGCACGAGAGAGCCTCGCGTTTACCAGCTGTCCGGACATCGTGAGCCATCGGGCGGCTGTTGCCGCGTTACCTACCACCGATAACTCGTCGGCGCGCTTCGTCTCATCTCTCGTCCGTCTCGGACCGCGGCCGGCCTCAGCCTCTCATTCCACCGTCCGTTCTCGTCGGGCGCCCCTCGTCGTCGCGGCTCTCGTGCGAGCGCCGCGCCTCGCGACCCTTTACAATCGAACGGTACGCACGCGCGGTGAGCTGGGGAGAGGAGGTCGCCGCGGCGCGCTCATGCACAACGCGAGACGTGCTGCCGCTGACCGGGCCGAGGGGACGGTCTTGCAGGCAGCGGCGGTGCTGACTGGGCCGGGGGGGGGGCGGTCCTGAGGGCAGCGGCGGTGCTGACTGAGCCGTAGAGACGGTTCTGAGGGCAGCGGCGGTGCTGACTGGGTGGTGGGGACGGTCCTGCGGGCAGCGGCGGTGCTGAATGGGCCGTGGGGACGGTCCTGAGGGCAGTGGCGGTGCTGACTGGACCGGGGGGACGGTCCTGAGGGCAGCGGCGGTGCTGACTGAGCCGTGGGGACGGTCCTGCGGGCAGCGGCGGTTCTGACCGGGCCGTGGGACGTACCTGAGGGCGGCGGTGCTGACTGGACCGGGGAGACGGTTCTGCGGGCGGCGACGACCCTGTACGGCAGTGGTGGCTGACCGCCTTGGGTTGGCACCGCGCGCAGTGGTTAAATTCCCGGCGACTGGCCTGACCCGCGACCGGTCCGGCCGGGTCAGCTGAGTGGGGCGATGGGTGACGGTTTCAACTCGGTTTGAAGCGTCTCCTACAAGTGTATGCATATTTTGGAACGGTTATTCGAATGCATTTTGGTCCGGCCTTCCTGCCAAGGATAGATTGCTGCAGGTTCTTCGAGTTCACCACATGTATTCGATCCCGTACAAAGGGCGCGGCGTCATTTCAGCGGACAGATTGCTTCGACTTCCGTGCCCGTACAGAACAGCGGGGTGCAGCATCTTTTCTGTGCCGCAGAATGTTTAACGACACGGCCACCGTCCGATGCTGGCGGGCAGTGTCCGGCGATCAGTCTGCCGCAGTAACCAGCACTGACTCGTTGTCACTTCTGTCATTTGCCTTCCAACATTAACCTTTGGCCATGGGCATTCAAATTTGTTTAGGATCTCGCCAACGGCTGCTCACCAAGACCCGTCACCAGCTTCAAAGTAACGCATTTGTCATGCTGCGAGGTGCTCTTTAACGCTGCCGACGGCCTATGTCAGACAAATTTCATTCAAAATGGCACTGCCAACAGAGGATATCCATCATCTGGTCATTCGCATAAGGATTTATGACTTGACGCGTGGAATACCACACGCTAATGGCTTGCTGATTTGGGTATGGTGGGGCAGCCGGGCATGAAAGTAATGCCTGGCAGGCAAGGGCAGGTACAAGATTACGTCCATACAAAGAGCAGCACCCTCTATTTATCAGGACGCTTAACAGGGCATAGACCGCGCCGGGTATGTGCTGGTGCAGATAGGGATAATGGAAAACAGCTTTTCCACAGTGTTGTGAGTTTGTTACACTTTGAGTCATTGAGGCAATTTACATTGTCATTCAGGGCCTGATGTAATGTTTGTTACGGGATCTATCACAATTACAGGTGACAGCCGGCGAACTTGATCGAGCGCCGCCAGACCGCATATATTTCTGCCGTATGCTCAACATTTTGTTATTCCACGCGTCGTGCCGGCTGCTTAGCTCCCGAGCATGGTGTGGACGCAGAACTCGACCTAGCAGCGGCAAGAGGACATTCACGCCTGTTCATACATTGTGTGACAGCCATTATCGTGTTGTATGGTCACTGCACGTGACTGCTTTATCCCACACAGTATGAGGATCATTGCTCAGCAACGCCGGTGCTCTCCTTGCCGTCAAATCTGGAATACTTAGCATCGCTCCTCTTCGAATGTCTTGCGACAGAGCCAGCACCATGTGCACCTCGCAGACCTTCGTGGTGCTGACGCCGCCCTCCGACCATTGCTCCACGCCGCCGCCGTTGAGCGTCGACAGTCCCGGCGCGCGCGCCAGCCTCCTCCGCGGCGTCCGCAGCGCCGCGCCGAGGTGCGGCAGCCCGGTACGGCGCGCGGCCGGCGGCGGCAGCCGGCCGACCGTCCAGATGGCGTGGA